TGTGATCATTGAGATTACAAAACATTTATCATTCTGAAATGTTAGTGAAGACTAAAAATTTTAAATTAAGGTTTTTCTTTGCTAGATCAGCTAGTAGTAGATTCAGCTGTTTCTGAAATGTTTTTGTCTATTTTAAAATCAGTGCTATTAAAGTGAATGCAAACTTTGTAAGTGTGAATTAGAATCAGCTGCACAGAGCGTCAATCCCTCTGTTCACTAATAAGTACTCAATTTGATTATTAATCTAATTAGTTAAACCATTAGTTAAACCAGACCTAAAGATTTCAGTGTGTAATTCCAGTTTGTGACCACAGGAGGGCAGTAGAGAGACAGTCTATGGCAAGAAATATAGCTTTTAAAGCGGATCATGGCGATTTATGCCATCTGGTGGACATAGAAGGTAACTACAGCGGTAATTAGGTTTTTAAGGCAGACCAGAGCGATTTCTGCCCTTTGGTTCCCTTTAAAGGTAACTACAGAAATCATAAATATTTAAAACATTTTTATAGTTGAGATGGTAGAGGGCAGAATCATGACACGCAAATTACTACCATGTTTTGACTAAAAGAAGAGTAAAATAACAAGTAACTAAAGCAGAGCAGGGTACATGCTGCCATCTGGTGGACGCAAAAGGTAACAACAGCATTAATTGAGATTTATATTATTTTTAATGCAAAGCGCGGAACATGCTGCCATCTGGTGGACAAAGACTGTAACTACAGCGAAAAGATTTGCAGTTGAGTACTTTTAATTATTTCTTCCACATTTTTCGTGTTAAGAGACCAAACGTGCCACGCTTCTCAGTCTTTCCCAGCCTATCTTAAAAGTTTACCTCCAAAAGATTTTTTAATGTATGTCGCATATTTAATAAAGCTTAAGAATGGAAGAAAACATTACAAAACAACTTTTTCTGTATTTCACAATTAAATCACTGTTAAAAATTAAATTAAAACACTGTTCGAGTTAGAGTTGCTTTATTTCACTAGAAGAGGGCAGTAAAGATTTTAAGGCAGTTAAATTATATTTTTACTACTGATAAATGACTACAGCTACACATACAGAATTAAATCTTCTACATCAAATCTAAAACGTTCACTTATTTTGAATGTAAGACCAAGTTTAATAATTAACACAATTATTAACACCATAAGGTTTAAAGCAGGTGCATAAACAGATTCAGTGGTAAAAACATGCTAATCGGTTAGCATCGCTAGCTCCGCTCTGATTCTCAGCGGTGCTGCCTTCAACTATGAGGAGCTGTTTCTAATTCACACGCAAAAGAAAACATAAAACATCGAAATGATCCCAGGATAAACATCTGTAGTAATTTATCTAACTGTGACCCATTCAACTCGCTGCTACGGAGCTGGAAACGAGCTAACTACAGCGCTACAACATACCTATGGCTACAACCTTATTTTGAGCGGCGGGTTTATGCCCCCTGGTGGCTGCAAATGGTAATTATTACAGCTAATAATAAAGCTGGTAAAATTATAAATATACGCTTCCTGCGAGTTCCTTCAAAATAAAACACCGGAAACAAGAAATGTTGTCAAAGGCTAATAAGATACAACTAAACTAAACTATGCAGAAGAAACAGTATATTATTAATTATTTTATTGAATAATCATAAGCCAGGACCAGTATTTTAACATAACTATTTAACAATTTCATGATAAATACACCAGATCTATCTGAATATTTATCTGGGGTCTGTTTTTTATTTTGTGGAAGTAGAAAAATGCACAGTAAAATTATTCAAAGAAATAAAAAGTAGAGTTGGAATAAAAAAAAGCACCCTGCACTGATATAAAATCTGTCCAGCTAATGGTCCTGAGGAAACAGTTTGGTTTTTAAATTGTTTTGTGAAGAGTAATTAGTAAATTAAATGTGTAGTAATGTGAAGAGCAGCAGTTTTAATAATTTATGTGTGTAGCAAATTAATTCAGGTATGAGTGTTTTAAATTATAAGTAAATGCAGATAATGTAAATTGTGCAGCTTTATTTGTAGTTGCAGTTCCTATTTGTGTCCGCTTTTCTTTGTAAGTGTGAAGAAAAAGCAGCTCCACAGAGCGTCAGTCCTTCTGTTCACTAATAATTACTCATAATTTTATTATTATTCTAATTCAGCATTACTTTCGCAAGGCTGGACAATTTTAGTGTATAATTCCAGCTTGTGACCACAGGAGGGCAGTAGAGACAGAATTTATGGCAAAAAGAGTATCCTTTAAGGCAGAGCAGGGAGACTTGCCATCTGGTGGACATAGAAGGTAACTACAGCTGTAATTAGGATTTCAATTATTTTTAAAGCTGATCAGAGATTTCTGCCCTTTTTTTCACATGGAGGGTAACTAAAAATAATAATGTATAATATGATTAATAAAAACATCTTTTTGAAGTCATAACACTTCAAAAAGATGTTATTGCTGTGATAAACCAATATTTTTATTTTAAATGTCATTTTCGCCTGAGCTTTCTCCGTCTACTGCCATCCAGTGGTAGCAGTCCGCAACTACATAGTAAAATCTTTAGATTAATAAATTTAAAAAGGCTTATTTGTAAACTGAAGGACAGGCTACTGTTCAGCATCTGTGGGTAGATCTGCACCTGCCGATAATCAGAGTTTGTGTGTAAAATTGAAAGCAAGAAGACAAAATTAACTTCAGATATAAATAAATAAATAAATAAAACATGCTAATCGGTTAGCATCGCTAGCTTCGCTCTGATTCTCCTCGGTGCTGTCTTCAACTCTGAGGAGTTGCTTCTAATTCACACGCACAAAGGAAACACTGAACACCGAATTGATCCCAGGATAAATATCTGTGGTAATTTATCTAACTGGGACCCATTTAACTCGCTGCTACGGAGCTGGAAACGAGCTAATTACAGCAATGCAACATACCTATGGCTACAACCGCATTTTGAGCGGCGGGTTTATGCCCCCTGGTGGCTGCAAGTGGTAATTACAGCTAATTAATGAAGGTGGTAAAATTATAAATATATGCTTCCTGCGAGTTCCTTCAAAATAAAACACCGGAAACAGGAAATGCTGTCGTTTGACAAAGGCTAATAAGATACTACTAAATTAATCTAAACAGAAGAAACTGTAGATTATTAATTATTAATCATTTTATTGAATTATCATAAGCCAGGACCAATATTTTAACATAACTATTAAATAATTACATGATAAGTACACCAAATCTATCTGAATATTTATCTCGGGTCTGCTTTCTATTTTGTGGAAATAGAAAAATGGACAGTAAAATTATTCAAAGAAATAATAAGCAGAGTTCGAATAAAAAAAGCACCCTGCACTGATATTAAAACTGTCCAGCTTATGGTCCTGAGGAAACGTTTTTTGTTTTCAAACTGTTTTGTGAAAGAGTAATTAGCAAAATAAATGTGTAATAATGTGAAGGGCAGCAGTTTAATAATTTATGTGTGTGTAGCAAATTAATGTACATATAATTGCAGGTACGAGTGTTTTAATTATAAGTAAATGCAGATAATGTAAATTGTGCAGCTTTATTTGTAGTTGCAGTTCCTATTTGTGTCCGCTTTTCTTTGTAAGTGTGAAGAAAAAGCAGCTCCACAGAGCGTCAGTCCTTCTGTTCACTAATAATTACTCATAATTTTATTATTTATCTAATTCAGCATTACTTAAACTAGGCTGGAGGATGTTAGTGTGTAATTCCAGCTTGTGACCACGGGTGCGCAGTAGAGATACAGAGTTTATGGCGAAAAGTGTACAATTTTAAGGCAGAGCAGGGCGATTTATGCCATCTGGTGGACATAGAAGGTAACTATAGCTATAATTAGGATTTCTATTATTTTTAAAGCAGATCAGATTTCTGCCATTTTATTCACATGGAGGGTAACTAAAAATAATAATGTATATTATGATTATTAAAAACATCTTTTTGAAATGTTATATTGCTGTGATAAACCAATATTTTTATTTTAAATGTCATTTTCCCCTGAGCTTTCTCCGTCTACTGCCATCCAGTGGTAGCAGCCCGCAACTACATAGTAAAATCTTAAGATTAGGTTAATAAATTTATAAACGCTTATTTGTAAGTTGAATGACATACGCTACTGTTCAGCATCAGTGTGTCGATCTGCACCTGCCGATAATCAGTTTGTGTGTGTAAAACTGGAAGCAGAAGACAAAATCAGCTTCAGCGCTAAAAACATGCTAATCGGTTAGCATCGCTAGCTTCATTCTGAGTCTCCATGTTGCCGTTTTCAGGCCTGAGGAGCTGCTACTTATTTACACGCACAGAAAAAAACACTGAACACCGAATTGATCCCAGGATAAATATCTGTGGTAATTTATCTAACTGTGACCCACTTAACTCGCTGCTACGGAGCTGGAAACGAGCTAACTACAGCGCTACAACATACCTATGGCTACAACCTTATTTTGAGCGGCGGGTTTATGCCCCCTGGTGGCTGCAAATGGTAATTATTACAGCTAATAATAAAGCTGGTATTATAAATATAAGCTTCCTGCGAGTTCCTACAAAATAAAACACCGGAAACAGAAAATGCTGTCGTTCGACTAAGACCAAGAAGATACGAGCAAACCTAACATTTCCTTTAATTGCTGTTTGAATAACACTTTTAGCTGGTTTATTTTGACTAAAAGATTAGCTAACGTGCCTTGAATATTTTAATTAATAGGATGGTTCTGTTCAGACTAAATAAAACCTTTTTCAGGACATCAATCCTGATCCTATACAAAATCCATTAAAAGGTTCAAATTATTTTAATACCATAAAGATAGGAAGTCTCATATAAGTAATTTTTTCAGGTTTTGTTAATTTCTCCACGAGAGGGCAGCAAATCCTTGTAATCAAGCACAGGGGAAAAAAAAGATCATCAATAACTTTATTGAATCACCATAAGCCAGGAACCAACATTTTAACATTATTAAATAGCGACATAAATAAATCAGATACACAAAATCTAACTGAATATTTATCTGAGGTCTGGCTTGTATTTTGTGGAAAAAGAAAATTGCACAATAAAACTATTCAAAAGTAAATATATATATATATATATATATATATTTCTATAGAGTCTGAATAAAGCATCCCAGCAATGATATTCCCTGATTTGAAAAACCGTAGCGTCTCTCCAAAATTCTGTAGATTCAGTGTAGACCTAAAATTAACACATAAATATGTCATCAAATTGCACATCATCAGAATAAACTGAAAATAAATTACCACATGATGTAAAATATCATTAACCTTTTACATTTGTAAAATAAAGTAAACAATACTCACTTATGTGTACAGAAAACTTACATTATAAGATAAACATGTAAAAAAAAATCTCTTTCCAGAAAAAAATAAAAATAAAAAAATCTGCATTTAAATTAGTGTTTTGGTGGAACATCCATCTGTAAACTGGCTTAGTGTCAGAAGCCACTATGTCCATCTTATCGCCCAGATGAAACGGTTTTTATTTAGATCAGAGACGAGGACTTCCTGTTGGTCACTTAACCTGCTGATTGACAGCTGCTTCAAGAGAATTCAAACTTCATGTTGTCCTTAAAAGGAGTTTTGTTGACGATGTTGTTGCTGCTGAAGAGTCTAGAAACAGAGCAAAGCGGGGAACAGATGTGACTCTTTCAGGCACAACAACATGAATCCAGATGCTCAGAGATCAGACAGGAATCCTCTAATGATAAACTTCTCCACTGATGGAGCTTTGCTGAGTGTCTGCTCACCTCACAGAACCAATGGAGGGATTGATGGAGACCAGGTGGAGTAACTCAGCAGTGGAGGCATCAGTGATCTGATTGTGACTCAGACTGGAACACAAACACAACACAGAACATTATGTTGGGTTTTACTGGAACCATGTTGAAATGAGGTGAGATCAGACCCTATATCCATGTGTTAAAATAATGGAAATTCAGCTGCACTGACCACTGCAAAGCCGTACTAATTAAAGAACCATTTGAAATTTTAGAGAAGTTGTGGACATTCAATTAAGTGGTACAATAGTCTCAGTGTAAAGTTTGTAGATTTATGGGAAGTATTAAAAAGCCCAAAGTTATTAAAACAACACCCGTGTGACTCTACATGAGTCACTAAAACATACTTGGATCACTGTCCAGAGCGAGAAAGCAGCTGTTTAATGACTGCTTTGTGAAACTTCACTGACTGATGGTTACTCGATCTGGCTGAAGAGAATGGGACATAGGTTACCCCTAAGAATCAAAACGAGTTTTTTCCAAATATCCAGCTAAATGGATTCAGTACAAATCCTGAATAGGGTAATACCCGACAGACTTAGGGGATCTCAGCACATGTGGGGTAGAAAGCTGGTTAGTTATTAACCTCTCAGAGTAGGAAGTTAGTTGGGTGAGGCTAACCACCACGAACAACAACAGATGGCAATCAATGTGCCAACAAGCCACCCACACAGCAATTGTTGGTGCCCAACATGCCAATGAGCCACTGATACAGGAATAGTTGGCACCCAAAGCAATAACGAGCCACCTATGCTGCATGCAGCAGCAAAAGGTGGCTCCCCACTTGATAACAAAACGCTATACAGCAATAGGTGGCACAAAATGTGATTAGGGTCCTGACCTTGAGAGATAAGGGTCTCTGGACTTGGTGGTGAACAACATAGAGATGTTTTTGCTGAGCACCAAACGTCAGTGACCACCTTTTATACAACAATGATCATTCTGAACCAGGGAGGCCAGTGACAGGTTCCAGATATCCTGCTGGACACAAGTCTGTCCTCATCGTAAAGACACCAACAGAGACAGCAACATGGCTGAAATATTACTGCATCAGCTGCTCCACTTTGACTGGATTAAAACCAAGGGACAGTCTGGGTCACTTACTCCAGGATGTGGACTTTGTGCAGATGTGTGATGAGTTGGAGCAGCAGCTGGTCTGTCAGCTGGCAGTGACTGAGGTCCAGCTTTGTCAGACCTTCAGAGTAGTCCAGCATCAGAACCAGAGCTCCACAGAGCCTCTGATCCAGTGGGCAGTGACTCAGGTCCAGTTCTCCTCCCAGAGCTCTGCACAGGGACATTGTCCGTCTCACTGTGTCCCTCTGATTGTTCACAGCAAGCAGAGACAGAAGCTGGACCAGGACCGTCTTACTGACTCTAAACAGGAAAAACAGACCAAAGAACATCAACATGAAGGTCAACAAACTTCTTCCTGCTTCAGGATCCATCTTACTCACATGAGACGGACTCTGTCCAGGACAGGAAACAGCAGGTCCAGCCCGCTGTCCTCCACCTCACAGTCTCTCAGGTCCAGCTGTGTGTCTCTGCTGCTGTGTCTCAGGACGGTGGAGACGGCCCTGCAGTCAGCAGCCGTCAGGCTCAGAGGCTCAGTCTGATCCTCCTCTGGTAGCTGCACACAGGAGGAGCAGGACAGATCCAACCTGTGCTGCAGAGTCCACAGTAAGTCTGATGCTGCCCCCTGCTGGTTGTCAGAGGAAGCGCAGCAGTGGATGAACCTCAGCAGGAGATTCCTGTCCACACTGGTGGGAACAGAGAAGAAAGAAAACCAACCAGTTAATGAACTGGAGGGAATGGTTCATCATGGGAAGGAGTCCTGAGGAGCAGGATCTGATATCTGACCTGAGATCAGAAACTGTGTGCAGCAAAGAGAGGATGGACTGTATTCCCTCTGCTGGGATGGAGCTCCACAGCAGCTTCAGTTTAACTCCATCACTGTGTCTGAGGATGAACAGCAGAGCATCACAGTCCTCTGAGTCCAGCTCTGTGCAGTTCAGGTTGATCACATGACCCAGTGACCTCAGCAACCCGGGTATCAGGTGACTGTGGTGAGTCCTGAAGATCTCCTTGATGGACGTCCTAACAAAGCTGGGACTGGGCCTGAAAGCAGACAGAGGATTCACCACAACACTTTGTTACTGCCAGAAACCAGAAGCTGCTGATGGAAAATCAGACCAACTATTTATTAGAAGACAAAAACCTCCACCTTTGAATCACCATCCTATGCAGAAAGGGCAGCAGCTGAGCAGCTCTCTCCTCTAAGAATCGGTTCTTCTTCAGGTTCACAGTGATGGTCTGAGCTGTCGGCTGCTGCAGCAGGTAGTGAAGAAGCTCCCAGCTCAACCTGCAGGAGCTCAGGTCTCCACCGAGCTTATTCAAGAGGGACAATGTCCTGTCTTGGTCTTGGACCTCATGGAGGAGAACCAGAAGCTGCTGGAGTCTCTCTTCACTCAGTCTGCAGAGATCACAGATTAAACTCTCACTGTGTTTCTGACCTGTTTACTTTCTGATAGAGATGATGAAGATGTTTACCTGAGTGTGAGAGGAGCATCATGAAGCAGCAGACTGAAGAGACTCTGAGCAGGGAGTCCAGACTCAGTCAGGTCCAACCGTCCCACTGTCCAGAACCTCAGCAGAGACGCCAAACTGCTGCCGACCTTCAACAAGACTCTCTGTGGCTGAGCTTTGGTGGACACCACAGAAAGCTCTTCTAGGACCACAAGACAGGCCACTCTGCCTCTTCTCACCCACTGAGACAGGAACAAGACCAGACTGTTGGAGAGTCTGGATCAGAGAGAAGAACAGAGATGATGGACATCAAGAACTGATGGTTCAGCAGCAGATAAGTGGTGAGAAAGAGACGTTTTCAGGTTCCTGCCTCAGACTGTGGAGCTGTGTTGTAGATCTGAAGAGGACAGCAGCTCCTCTGACGGACATCCGACTGTCTGTGAGGATCAGATCCACTTTAGATCCACACAGGGGGAGAACTTTTCCCACAGAGCTGCAGGTTTTATCATTCAACTCTCCTGTTAGAAAAAGTTTGAAGTTCAGAAGCTGCAGGAGAGACACCATCTGCTGGATCTCCTCTCTGGATCTCATTGATAGAGACGAACAAACACTCTGGAAAAACCTGGGCATACACCTGTAACAGAGAAACCATGGAAAGATAAGAAAACAAAACTTTGCGTTATTCTGGGATAAATCCAGGAGTAATAGGCCAGAGCCGGCCCTGAACCGCTCACCAAAATCTACCACTGCCACCGTATTATGTAATAATGAAGCAACATGTAATAACTGACTTCAAAATGTAATAACACTACCTTTTGTAATAATCAATGCAAAAATCCTTTCAACATCCAGTGGCGGATCCATTTTTAAAAAACTATGTTCTCCTCAACCTAGGTGCAAAGTACTAGAACAACTATGGAAGTGTTCGTTTGGTGCCATCTAGTGGCAGAATTAAGGTATTATACTTAAGAGTCCCTCACTGATGCTGGCATTAAAAGGAGACAAAGCTTTCTCTCAGTAACACCATGTACTCAAATTTGCACATGGCAACATATCAGGAGCAGTAGTTCTTCATAACCTTGTGTTGTCTGACAATTTTTTAAAATTTGAGTAAGAAATTTAATTTCCTCCAAATCTCAGAAAAACATAGTTGAAGGCAGCAATTTAATCTTTAGCCCTTCTCAAACTGATGTTCTTGTTCCCCATTGCATGTGTCATTAGACAATGTAGCCCCCTTAAAAAATTAGGTCATTATTCAAAGGAGTTTGGCTCCCGGGCTTATTTCAGTTCCATGTACTTCAAACCTGAACACTAGCAAATTGAAGAAAAAATTGGTCTGCGCATATCTAGAGGAGTCTAGAACTCATTTCATAAAATTTGGTTAATTTTATAAAGCAACTGAAATATGACGATGTGATATGAAACACTGTAATGAAGTTGGTATTAGGCTCTAACACGTACTTGGAAAAATTGAAGTAGGGTGACTGTACCTGAGCTGTGAGATATAAGGCAGAAGTTTTAGGAAACTCCTCACTTCACTCTCGTCATGTGGGCAGTCTGTCAGCATTACTGGCTGGAGTTTCATCACTTCCAGGAGGATGGAGGTCTTGCTCTCTGAGAGTTTTATGGTCCAGATTTCAGGAGCTGACTGTAAAACTGACTGTAATGATGGAAGGAGACTCAGACCTGTTTGAGTCTCTCTGTCCTTCATCTGGGAGTACAGATCCAGCAGGAAGTCACTCTGGGATTTTCTGCATCCATATTCAAAATTAGCCATGCATCTGTCATCAAAAGGGAATGTTTTCCATCTGCAGACTGATGCTAACATCTCCAGCATCTTCTCTCCTGTCTGCTGTTCTCTCTCTGCTGCTGCACAGAACAGATTCACTAAGAACCCGGTTTGTTCATGAAGATCTGAGCTTCTACGATCAAAGCTGGAACAAAAAAGGAGACATTTAAGAATGGTTTGATCTTAGCTGCATAAATTCAACCTTAGTTGTTGCTAGGCATATGGTGCCTTAGGAACATATGATTTGTGGTTGACTTCATGTAGGAAGAACTTACTTTATTAACCTTTTTTAATCTGGTTGCAAAGGAGAAGTTAAACACACTACCAATTAAATCAGAATGGAGTGTATTTATGTATATGTGGATAAAGATGTATGTAAATATTACATATGGCAAACTGTTAACTTTCACAAAATATTCAAATGCCATTCATTTTCATAACTTAGATAAAATAAAATAACTGTACCTGAGCTGTGAGATAAAAGGCAAGCACTGCAGGAAACTCCTCACTTCACTCTCTCCATGTGAGCGGTCTGTCAGCTTCACTTGTTTCTTCTCTGGTTGGAGTTTCATCACTTCCAGGAGGATGGAGGTCTTTCTCTCTGAGAGCTTTATGGTCCAGATTTCAGGAGTTGACTGGAAAACTGACTGTAATGATGGAAGGAGACTCAGACCTGATTGAGTCTCTCTGTCCTTCATCTGGGAGTACAGATCCAGCAGGAAGTCACTCTGATATATGACATCATAATCATGCATGTATTTATCCGACAAGGGAAATGTTGCA